TCAGGCGCTTTAATACAAAAACTCACTATGTGATCGCCTCTTATGTTCGCCCAGCCGTCAGACATCAGTATTAAGTTTGTTTCAGAATTCAAAATTTCATTTACAGAAGCAGAACATTTTGTGTATTGTTTGTCGAGCAGAGATCCTTATAAAGCTTTAGCATTCGGGATGACAGATGCGTACGATGGATTGAGCAACTTAACAAAATTCTTGAAGGCCTCCGATTCGACTAAACAAAATGATATACCTGTACGGTAAATAAAATTAGCAAGCTTTGTGTCGATATCATTTTTAAGCTCTTCGTTAATTGGTGGATGTACACGCTGCATCGGTGAATCAGACGTAGACGGAAGTTGCTGAGAATCATTGATTAGATGTGACGATTCATAATTACACTTAAAAAACAATCTTTTTTCCTCGACACTGGCGTTTGGATATGTTAATCTTTTTTGCGCTGCAAGGCGTTCCTTCGACCATTGAACAGTTTTGTTACATGCCAGTTTTGTTTTACAGAACAGTTTTGTTAGTGCCAGAACGCTTCTCTTGATCAAGATTTGTCAAATAATTCAAAATTTTGATGTTTTGCATTTTAAACATTTTGAATGACGAAAATACACGATTTCTTGATTCTAAATCACTTTAAATTGTAGTAAAAAAATAAAAGTTTACATCGATTGAAAAAGAAACAGATAATGAAAAACTTGTAAAAAGTAGATAATTATGCAAAAATAATTTCAGACATTTGATTCAGATAAATTAAATTTTTCCTTTCCGTTAGTGCTTCCGCAGACGTCGGCACAGACATCTGCGCAGATATGCGCATATTTTGTCAGCGCAGATCTGCGCAGACACATTTTCCGAACCCTATATATATATATATATATATATATATATATATATATATATATATATATATATATATATATATATATATATATATATATATATATATATATATATATATATATATATACATATGTATATTATATCACTTACGGGGGCAAATTTTACAAAAACGAACACTTATGGGGAAATTAGCATTATCGGGGACATTTTAGTGTACCTGTTAATTTTTCGTCCCCGTAAGCATTATATTTTTTGTAAAAAAATGTACTCATAAGAAACTTTTATAGAGAACGAAAAGTACATACATCTACTATCAAATAGCAGACTCGCAAGGGAGTGCTGCTACATCGACTGAGGGTTTTGTTTGGCCAGGCATCAAGGTCAGGGTTAGGGTTATTCTTACAGCAAGGTTTAAATTTGGTTATATTATTGTAATTAATCGTTTTTGTAAATAGATGAAGTTAAAAATGTAATATAAAATAAAATAAATAAATAAAAATAACTAAAATTCATATAAAAAGAATATTTTTATAACAAAATAATAAATTTAAATATGTATAAATAAAATATAAATAAAATAAATGTTAAAATAAATAAATAAATATGATAAAAATAGTATAAAAAATTTTTAAAAAAACAACAACAGAATGGGAACAAAAAAAACATGTCCCCAAAAGTTGCGACTAGGATGCTATATATATATATATATATATATATATATATATATATGTATATATATATATATATATATATATATATATATATATATCAGGCCTTGTTTTAAATAAAAAATGCTTAATGCATTAATCTAACGCGATATTTGACGTCATAAAATCCTCTTTATTTTTTCATTTTTTAAAGACATTAACTTTTTTAAATTACTGAAATAATATTAATTGCTGCAAAACGAGTTAAATGTTATTTAATGGCTTTTTTATTAATAATATAAGGGAATGTTTATTATTTTTTTTAATATTAAATAATTGAATTTAATATTGCATTTTCAAAAATGTTTAATATTAACAAATTTCTTTCTTTTCTTGACATTTGCCTAAATGAATTCAAATATATTAAATTTTTGAATTTTTAAAATGATTGTTTCTTATATTTCTAATTGCAGCTTTGAACTACAAATGATTTTTTATTTAAAAAAATTAGTGAGTAACAAATAAAAAAATTACATTAATTTATTTACTTAATAACACTTTATAAGTTTATTGTTTTATTATTAAAAATATATTGTTGTATATAAAATTGTTTATTAAGAAATAATTGCTGCTATTTAACTCACATTATAAAAAAAAAAAGAAGCTTAACTTACATTTTTTGAAAATTTTTGATGCAGCTGTTTATATAAAATTTAATTTTGAGTAAAAAAAATAAAATGTCTAGGAAGAAAAACCGAAAAAACAATTGCGATACAAATAAGCTAACTTTTTTTTTAAAACAAATAAAATTTCAATATTGAATAATATTTAGTAATATTTTTAAATAAATTTGACAGTTAAATTAAACTTAACCAAATTTAATATATATATATATATATATATATATATATTATATATATAAACATATAAAATTTTGGAATTTGCTTTTTGTCTGGAAGTTAGGTATCTCAAACATCATCTGCATCTGCGCCTGTGCAATAGACGATTTCGGAGTTAGTGTAGCCATCTTGGAAAAATATGGGGGTACAAGTTGAACTTTGATATTTCCGTTTTTATGCGAAATGTCATATAAAAGAATGAAAATTTTCTTAATTTAAGTTCAAAATAACTCATAGTTTATTAGTTAATTCTTGGTTTAAAAATATTAAGGAAAAATGTTAAACTTGTTGCAAGAGTTTTTGCTGTTATGGAACTTATTCTTGAAATTATATCTTCACTAATTAAAACTAAAAGGAAAGGTGATATTATACCTTTTTTATGGTTTTAAATTTTGCATTTAGTATTTTAAATGGTGCAAACTATACCGTATGAAAACTTGAAATCAACAATTCACTTTAATACATATATTTTATTACAGTGAACTGTTTGATCTCATAAAAAATTAGTTATTAGTTGAAAACTAGTTAATTAAATTGTATGTATTATAATGCCAAGTCATAGCAGATCTTTAGTTAGTGTCTGTAATAATGACAAAAGATACCCTGACGAAATTATAAAACAGCAATGTTGAAGAAAATATAATAATATACTTTTATTACTTTTTTTTTAAATAAAAACATTTAGTAAGCAATATCTAGTACATAATATAATGCCAAGTCATAGCAGATGTGTAGTTGGTGTCTGTAATAATGGCAAAAGATACCCTAACAAAATTATAAAACATAGCAATGTTAAAGTAAATTTAATAATGCACAAGTTACCAACATGTAAAGAAAGAAGAAATGCATGATACAACATGTAAAGAAAGAAGAAATGCATGATACAATATGTAAAGAAAGAAGAAATGCATGGATACATCATGGTAGCACTAGTATAAAAAATTTTGTTGTTCCTAAAAACTTTTTTGTTTGTTTGAATCACTTTCTTGAAGAAAAACCTACAAAAGATAATCCTGATCTAACTTTGTTTTTAAAAATCTCTACTAACACCATAGCAACACCAAAAAACAGAAAAGTACCTTTTCCACGAAACTCAATTATTAATTGTAAAAAAGTTTTAGTAATGAAAGAAACTAATTCAAATTTGATGGATGGTTGTTGCAGTTCTAATGTTGACTGTGGTGATTCTGAGTTAAATTTTGTTGTTGCAGATGAAAGAAAAATAGCAACATCTAGTGAATTTCTAGTGTCTGTCCCAATGATGTTCTGCCAGTTGACACGTGAAAATGATGTGCAATTTTTTTACAGGTTTTGTGATTACTAAAATTTTCAAAAGTGTCTTTAATTATCTCAAACATAAAGCTTCACTTATGACGCATTGGAATGGCAGCAACAAAAGTTTGAAATTAAGAAAAAGGTTGAATCAACAGAGGCAATATAATGTCTCCTGATTATGATGTTGATGTTGAATCATCTATCGAATTTGAATTAGTTTCTTTCATAAAACTTTTTTTGAATTAATAATTGATTTTCGAGACAAAGTTGAATCAGGATTATCTCTTTTGTAGATTTTTCTTCAAGGAAGTGATTTGAACAAAAAAAAAAGATTTTAGAGACAACAAAATCTTTTATACTAGTGCTACCATGATGTATTCATGCATTTCTTCTTTCCTTACATGTTGGTAACTTGTGCATGTCTGGGTATTATTTGTCATTATTACAGACACCAACTATACATTTGCTATGACTTGGCATTATATTACATACTAGATATTACTTTCTAAATGCTTTTATCTTAAAAAAAAAGCAATAAAAGTATATTAACTAGTTTTAAACAATAACTTTTATAATGAGATCAAATAATTCACTGTAATAAAATGTATGCACTAGAGTGAATTGTTGATTTAAAGTTTTCATATGGTATAGTCTGTACCATTTAAATTACTAAAATAGAAACTTTACTTTTCAATATAAACTATATGTATAATTAAATAAAAAAAAATGCAAACTTATTTTCTATTATAAAATTTAAAGCCATAAAAAAAGTCTAACATCACCTTTTTTTTTGGTTTTAAATTGTGAAGATATAATTTCAAGAATAAGTTTCATAGCAGCAAAAGCTCTTGCAACAAGTTTAACATTTTTTCCTCATAATTATAAACCAAGAATTAACTAATAATCTATGAGTTATTTAAACATAAATTAAGAAAATTTTATATGACATTTTGCAATAAAAACGGAAAGTTCAAAGTTCAACTTGCACCCCCAAGAACATTTTTCCAAGATGGCTACGCTAAATCCGAAGTCGTCTATATATACATATACAATATACACATATACAATATATACATATACAATATACACATATACAATATTGCAAATTTAGATTGACAAATATCACTGGTGACGTCATAAATACATACAGCGACTGAGGGCCAGATTATAGACATTTTAGTAAAGAAAAGTACTATAATATATTTGCATAAAGTAGAATTAATAGAGTAATTAAATGAAAAAAGCTGAGTTTTGAAACATACACATCTACATGTATACAAAATGCACACAATTTATATAAAGCACACACATCTTGCATGTGTTGCACACATACCTTATATTAGTCTCATCACTGCCAGATAGTACATATGTAGCATCTCCACTGAAAGTGACACAGAAAACACGCTGCATACGAGATGTATGATACACTTCTCTACAAGATATTAAAAATATAGTAAATATTTTCTATTTTAACCAGAACTGAAGATATATATAAAGTTAAGTTAAAAAAATTTATCCATTTTGATTTTAAAATTTCTAAACATCAAATAAATGTCTGAAGCAAGAAAACAAAGTAATATAAAAAAATAACCTGCTTCTTGCTCTATCTCTTGGAAATATCCTTATTGTTTTATCGAAACTACCTGTCACAAATTCTTGACCAGTTGGTGAGTAATCTATATCTAACACAGCCCCAACATGATCAATGTGAACATTTACTGGGGAATCTAATTTTCGGATGTCAAAAGTGTAAGCATTGGAATCTTCATTTGCAGCAGAAAATATAAATGCCTATTAAAAATCAAATTTAAATAACTAAATATGTTTTTGAATAAATTCACTTCTAACAAGGCAACAAGCAACTACTAAATAAGTTAGGAGTTAACTGAAATCAAAGAAAAAAGTTAGAGCATGAAGGAATAGTTACAGTAAAAGGATGTAATTTAGCAGAATAACAAGTCATGCAAATTTGGATTTTGGTCTATGGAGATAGTAGCTTGATTGAGCAGCAATTTTGCTATATTGTTTTGTCATGTATTTTGAAAAGTCGTAAGAAGCAGAAAACAATGGAAGTAAAAAACAATGAACTGCCACGCAGATTTTGACATTTTTTGATCCACTCCTTCCTCCCCCTTCCCTTGTAATGCATCTTAACACTTAATTGACCACCTTCCGCCCCTCTTAAATATTACACAACAATTTTGTACCCACCCACCCCTCCTGCAAACTTTTTTTAAAGGAGGATGGGGTACAAAATTTTACAAAATTTATAATGATTTTAAATGTCTATAATTTTCTGAGCTTCTTTAAATAAATTAGTACTTTTTTCTATACCACTACCACATTGGTAGTGGTATTTATATTAGTTATATTCATTAGTAATAAAAAAATAATTTTAACAATGACATCTCTTATAAAACAGTGAAAATATAAATGAATAAAAAAATAAAAAACAAAAATTTACTTGTTCAAAAAATGGATAAAATATTTCATATTCATAAAGGTAATGTAAATTGTAGAATTTGAAAGTGAGGTAAAAAAATTAGGAATGTTACTTTAAACAAAATAAATTAAGTCTAGTTAAAGTTTAATTGAATTATATAGGGGAAGTAAGGGCATAACATAACTGTCTTTTTAACAGTTTATTTTAATAACCACATTATTAAGCTTTAAATTGCTGCAACTAGGAAAAAATAAAATGGATTTTGAAAATGTTATTACACAAAAAGTAAATTTATTAAAAAAACGGTTTTGCCCCATTGTGAGGCACAACCGCACCATCAAAAAAATTATTGAAGGTACACTTTTCTTGGTACATTTTTTTTAAAATTAAGAAATGCATAATTATATACCTACAATATATAATAATATAATAATCATCAGATATACATAAGTATAACAAGATATCAATTTATACTCTTAGTTTTATATTTTAATCAAAAACTCATTTATAAAAATTAAATAAAAAAGTAGGAATTAGTTAATTACTAATTTCCAACATCTCAAAACAAAACTATTTCTATTCAAGCTTTTAAATAAACACATTTAAGTGTGACGATTGTATATATTGTTATTCGTAATTACCTAACTTTAATAAATATTAAAAGTATGCGGTTGTGCCTCCTGTGCGTCTATGCGGTTCTAATACAGCGGTTGGCAGAGCAAATTCAGTGCTTGGTATTATAAGAAGAACATTCAAATATGTCGACACATATGGTGAAACAGTTATATGTAACATTCGTTCCGCCACACCTTGAATTTGCGATTTAAGCTTGGTATCCTTATTTAAGACAAGACATCGATAAAATTGAGAAAATCCAAAGAAGAGCCACAGAGTTAGTGCCAGCATTGAAAAAAATACCATATGAGAAAAGATGCAATTAATTACTCTAGAAGAACGGCTAATATATGGCGATCTAATCCAACAATACAAAATTCAATATGGTTTTGATAAAGTAAATTGGGTTTCAAACTACAATTATACCGCATCACAAGAAGGCCCCATCTGAGGCAACATAAATTCAAATTAAAAAAACTATTCTGCAAGAATACTATCAGATCAAATTTTTTCTCTAATCGTATAGTCAGTATATAGAATAATCTACTGAGTGACATAATAGAAGCTGATTCACAAAATGAGTTCAAAAACAAACTAGATAGATCAAATATTTGCAAAGACATTTTATTACAAAATTGTTTTTAAGATAATTTGGTTTAGAGATTTAAGAATTGTGCAAAGCTGATACAGTGCAATATCAACTGTTATTGCACTCCACAACTGTTAACACCAGTTGTTACAGCTACCTCTTATTATTATTATTATTAATATCAATGTGCTAGTGGTATAGTGATAGAAGGCTAGCTTTGTAAGCGAGAAGTTACAAGTTCCAACTTATCACCTCTCTGGTTGTACCGCACTCAACTTATTTCTCTAGGCAGACTTATTTCTCAAGGTTCATTTTTTGAAGTTAAAGAGCTGACAGTTAAGGTTATAATCACAATTAATAATAAAAAAAAAGGCTTCTAGACTGTAGTGACCTTCTTGAGTTCCTTGAGGCCTTGAGGAGGCAAATTTAATTTATTGAAGAAAAATTTTTATATAAAAGTATTAAAATGTAAAACGTGTTGATTTTTATAACAAATGCAAAAATCAAATAATTATTGGAGAAACAAGTTTTTAATTACAACTTTAGTTAATTCAAAATAAATAAAAAATTTAAAATAAAAACTTTGTGTTTTACCTTTTACCTATTAAGCAGTGATCGAAAAGGGAAAAAAACATAACTGGATGGTTTTCTGTACTTTTAAAATACCATCTTATCATTGCTATATATTTTATATTATAGGTGACATTTCACCCCACCCTGTCTTACTTGAAGTACTGCTTATTAGTATTTATTAACGACTATTGTTTGATAAAAAAAGAGCAGAAAAACAATTTAATACAGTAGAGTAAAAAACAAAATACAGTTCTCTAGTCAGGGCCTATTCTAGGAAAAAGATTAGGGTGGCGGAACCCCCTAGTTTCTGCCAAATTTAGCGGAAAATCTGTGTTTTTTTTTGCCAAAAAAACAGTAGTTGCTGTAAAAACATTAAAAAAAAAAAAAAAGATCCTCAATTTTTATTTTGGGCGACGCCCAAATACAGTGGACACTGTCGAAAACAGTATAGCCCCTGTAAAAGGATATAAAAAAATTGAAAAAAAAAATTGTTTAAGAATTAAATCTTAAAAAGTATAAAAAGAAAATTACCTCCCCCCGCACCCTCAATCTAATGACCATTGCCCCACCCTCAATCTAATGACCATTGCCCTAATCTGCACTAGCTCAAACATCTCCACCTATCCCCACAATTACAACAACCCAATAAATGAATTTTTATCAATGAATCTAATTCCTTTAACTATTCAATTCTTCCCTACAATTAGGTAGGTGAGAGTAGATTTTGTTAAAAACAATTTGTTAAAAAATAAGCATAATATTTAGTCTTACTCAGCATTTTTTGAAAAAATATACTGCATTAGGAAGTCATTGCAAAACAAACTTCTTTATGTATGGTAAAGTTTAATATGTGTTATTCTTATTATTATGTTAATATAATCTTTTAAAAAGACCTCATGTTGTAAAAGTTTTTAATCTAAGCTGGTGGCTTTTATGTAAAACATAAATTATATGTTTTACATGCCTTTTGAATGTAAGTTATAAGAATGATCAAGTCTTAATGATTATATCTGGCTTTTCTGTGGATACAAATAGCCAGAGGCTATGATTAGCAATTGTCAATCAAAAACAATGACACAAGAGTCCCAGCTTTTGGTCACCCAATCCAAAATTAAGTTAGCCATTGGTTATTGCTTGTCACATTTTGTGCTAATACCTTTAGTTTGTAATAAGATATATAGCATCAATGCTGGACAAATAATTTCCTTAGATTTGTTGAAAACTGACATTCGACATAATAAATTAATATTCTTCCATAATTTTACAGTTGGACCACTAAATGAATTAGGCAGACCCGTTAAGATTAACCAGGTTTCTCTTATTTATTAAACATAGAAACTAGTTTAAAGATTGAGATTGTTAAAATAAAAATTGAGAAGTCAAATAACACCACCAATATTATTACATACATTGTTTACACATGGTTAGCACAGATCCTTATAATGCCTACCTAGCTGTCCCAAGAATGCCACTTATACAGAAAGTATAGATGCCACTACACATTAAGGTACACATCAAGGTGTGATGCAAATTTTGAAATCATTTAATTTTGTCCAAGGGAAATAAGTTAATTTGAATGTTCAAATTAAGTCAAATTTTGACTTCATAGTGCGCCAATAAAAACACTTGTAGAATTTGAACGACTCAATATAATTTGATAATAATGGTGCAAATGTAGCCAATGGTCACACCAAACTCTGGACAAAATTTCAGCCTGATTGGAAGACCGGTGTAGGATTTATTGCAGTTTTAGTTGAAGTTTTGTCAGTTTTTTGCTACTTATACCTCAAAGCATTACCAATTACTTTGAAATTCGGTCACTATTTTTAAAATAAGGGTTACATGAGTGTTCTACTATGTAATACTAACAACTTTTGTTATAATTATTTTATTGGTAGATGTACAGTTTTCATTTTATAGACCAAAATAGTGATTTGCTACTTAAAGTGTGATTTGAATTGGCTTATGCCAATGGCGTTGACATGGCCTTCAAAGTGGAGGGGGTCAACCCCTCAATTTCTAAAATAAATTTCACAATTTCTAAATTAATTGCCTATATTTATAAAACAAAAGGTCCTAACAAAAAAAAAGTGGACAGGGCATGGCTCCCTTCTAAAAAAATGGTTAAGAAGGATTTCTAGGGATACCTACATAAAAAATAAAAATATTTGTTTATCTGTAAACAGAACAACTGTGAAAAAACCAAATATTTTTTATATTGACAAAGATAATTGACTTAAAAAATTTAGATAAGTTAACTAAGATATCTGACCAATACAAAGTTTGGAAGGCCAGTCGGAGGAAAATTACTCTAATTGAATAACTAATTAGATTGAAGAGTTGTTTTGAAATAAAAAACCCCGTGTGACATTAGTTTAATAAGTGTGACAATTATCAATAATGTAATTTCCTTACAAGTAAATAGTTTAAACAATAGTTTCCTGGTAAGGAAAGAACTATTTAAGAATTATTTCCTTGTAATTTAATATTACCTCAATTAAATCAAGAAAATATTTCCTTTATTTTAATAGTTTTTAATTATTAATATGTGTTACTATGTTAAGTGGATTGTTATCAAATATAAATTTTGGTCAAATTTTGTAAAAGACAGATTTTAATTTAGTGAAGTCAAATTTAGTGAATTGCCATGATGTTAAATCAAGCAAAGAATCATGATGAAAATTGAAAGTTTGTGTGCTTGCTCTGTCTGAAAAAATGTTTATGACAGCTTACTACTTTTCAAGCAGATCAAATATGCCAACTGTACAAGACCAAGATCAATATCAGTGATACTCGGGTACCAAAAGGATTCTGCGAATCGTGTAGAATTACTTTCTGCAGGAAACAAGAGGGGAAAGAAGTTGTACTCCCTCCTTTATTTGATTCTTAGTCAATACAAGTGAGACCTGAAACAAGAGGCACGATGTGTTGTTGCCTAATATGCCGAATTGGTCGTTCAAAGCTGCAAGAAAAACATCCTCTTATAGAGCAAACCACTGTTGAGAAAAAACCAAAGGTGCGTTGCAGCAAATGCCTCAGCCCTTTAGGAAAAGATTTGCCCCACCAATGCTCTTAAATAATGTTAAGGGAAAACATTCAATCTTTAGCAGCAAAAGATGCCAAATCCAAACAAATTGCATCTCGAGTTATTTCCAATAAAGAATTATCTTCGGAAGGAACTAATTTAATGGCTAAAGCATCCGGCTGGCCTCCACTTACAGTTACCCCTGGTAAATATTTATACTTCAATAATTTTAACATATATATTGAAAAAAAGTCTTGACTATTAAGAAATAACACTAGATAGATTTCAAGAAGTATATTTTTGTCAAATTTCTAATTTCTTTAAAAACAAATAATTTGAAAGTTTTACACAAACTTACTAAACAAAGTTTATTGTAACTATAAAATATGTATGTTTTGGTTTTAGGTCAAAGTAGTGCGCAGACACCATCAAGTGTTCCGAAATTGACCACTGTAGCCCTTGTAAATGTGCAATTAAATACGGGCCTGTCAAACAACAGATTAAAGAAATTTGTTAGAACTGTAAACAAAACATCAAGCAGCAAGATGGTAGAGCAAAATTTCTACATGAATTTTCAAAGACTAGGTCAACAATTGAGCGATTTCTTCACCTGCAGCGACTTAAAAATCACAGACGAAAAAACAGATTCTTGTACAGTTCATGTTGTTGCTCACTGCAATGATTTATCAAGTCTTGTGAATCATGTTATTCAGTCCCGCAAAATTTCTGGTGGCTATTTTGTTAGGTTCGGAATTGATGGTGGCAAAGGTTTTCTCAAGTTTTGCCTAAGCATTGTTGATACTGTGTTAAGGGATGAAACCAGCTCACCGCACCAACGACAACCTTTCACTCAAAGGACTGGTAAAGATACTGGAGTCAAATTATTGTTGGGGTTTTAGAAGACAAATTTGGGGTTGGCAAAAAGACAAAACTGGGGTTTCAGAGACAAATTATTGTTGGGGTTTTAGAAGATTTCCCAGAAACAATATTGAACAAATCTGGTCACTGATTAATGCAAACGGAGTTAAACTAATTTTGGTTTGTGATATGGAAGTTGCAAATATAATTTGTGGTCATCAAACTCATTCAAGTACGCACTCTTGCACCTGGTGTGACATCAAATCCAATTGTCTTGCCAAATCTGGAAACTTGCGAACACTGGGCTCAATTAATTCAAGCCTTGAGTCTTTTCAGCAAATAGGTTCAGACACATTTTAGGACCAAACAGGCATTATCTAAACCAAGAAAAGTGTATATTATTTACAATGTACAGATAAAATTGTTCACTCATGAAACTCTTTAGGCAATTTCTTTTATTGTTTATGCATAAGAAAATGTTCAATCTTCTTTTTTAAACAGACTTCGCACCTTCCTTTTTTTTGTTAGTAGTAAGTCTGTTTGAAAGAGATGATGACATTGGTCTGCTGAGTTTGCCGATCAAATGTAATTTTTTCACAAAAACAGGTTACTTTCCCTTGAATTTTTCTAAATTTCCCTAAAAATAGCCTATTATTGATCGTTGATCATTTGTTATTTCGAGCGCTGTATATATATATATATATATATATATATATATATATATATATATATATATATATATATATATATATATATATATATATTAATAAATAATAAATGTATTGATAATCTTTTTATAATAAACTATAAAGATAAAAATTTTAAATTATATATACTAATTATTGTATTCATTGTAAACCTTATTTATGTGCACTAGTTGTCAAATAAAAATTAAAAAGTAATAAAAATTATTTATCACAAAATATTCTATTAAATATTTAACCTCCATTGGATTCCAAGCAATGGTATTACTCCTCATTTTCATTATAACTTTACGCAATGCACTAGTCCCTCTGGTATCATATAACATAATGCTACGATCTGATGCTGTAGCAGCTACAAGGTGAGTCTGGGTTTAAAATTTAGAAAAAATTAATTAAAAGTGAATATATATATATATATATATATATATATATATATATATATATATATATATATATATATATATATATATATATATATATATATATAATTACATTTAAAAAGGGACAAAAAAAGTAATGTCATTAGTTATTTAGATCTCAAATCTTAAGCATTAAAATAAATATTGACACATCACCAAATAAATATTTAAGCATTATTTATAAAATATTGCTTAGAACTGGATATTATGATAGTGGTAACATGTAAATCATTAAAACCAGTCACAAGTCCTGCTGCATTGAACACTGTGGTACTTCTCAGAAAAGTTAATATCGACAGTTATAAAATATCAGTGCGTTGCCAATGTTGTGCATAAATGGTCAAAATGTTAGTGCTTCTGGTGTGTATTTTCAAGGTGATTTGTCTTTTGTTACAACCTTCATTTAGTTATTAATAAGTCATATAAATTTTTTTTTATGTATATTTCTATAAGTGTATATTGTTTTCATACAAATAAAATTCAGTCATTTTACATGTTGTTTTCAAAATAGATGCTATTCTTTTATAAATACTTTTATTCATCAGCATATTTTTTTATATTGCAATTTTTTTACACCCAATAACATTTTTAATAGGGTTGCAACTAAACCAAAAACTTTTTTAGAAAACTTTTTTTGCAACAAAATAATACTTAAGCTGCATGTTTAAGAAACCTATTAAACTATTTACCTTTAATAAAAATTGCATACTATACCTTACCGATATTTGCGAAAGCTAAAAATGATAGCATTCCAGGTTGTTACCTTGACCTAGATTGTAGTTGTTTAGAAGCCACTAAACTTGTTGTAGTTTAAATAACATGCACATCTTCATAACACATGAACATGTTATGTACATGATGATATAAATAATATCATGTGCATCATGATATAAATATTCATGATGCACATGAATATTTTTTTAAAAATATTTTAAATTAAATTAAAAACATTTTACTAGTTTAAAATGATTGAGTAAGAATAATAAAATATTTTTCACTTTTTTTATTGAGTGAATTTTTTTTTAAATAAGTTTCTTATCAGTTTAATTAATTTTTTCAGTTTTTTTCCTCCATAGATGAGAAAAGTGACTAAAAAAAAATAAAATATTGAACTACTGATAATCATAACAGAGGACTCAAGTAAAACATGAGCAATAGTTTAGTCACTCGAAGAGCTACAGTACAAAAACCTGAGATTGCATCACCTGTATTACAATAATAATCCTTGCCTACTATAATTATTGTTTGAATCCTCATCACACCTTTGATGTGAATATTCAACAAAAATTTCAAAGTGTTGGCTTTAAAGTATAATAATTTTTATTTTTTTTTATTAATGTTTTATTTTAATCTTAATGCCTTTATAAGAATAATAAAAATTAAATGTTAAAATAATTAAAAAAAAAAAAAAAAATCTTGAAAGTGAAGCTTTTGAAATATATAAAGAATCAATATTTTATTGTAAACAAACTATTATGAATAACAAATTTCTATGAAATACTTGTGACTCGCTTGTTTTAATTTAAAGGAGATCAAACTGATCCATTTTAAATTGAAGTAAGTCGGCCATTGACTCACTTTAAGTTGAAAAAAGATCAAAACTGTATATTTTTTTAAATGTCTTTTATTATCAAAACAATTTTAGACGAAATTGTTTAGGGTGCAGTAAAGTTGTGGAAAAGATTTTTGACAAGAATTATTAGATCCCCAGCTTATCTGCTTTCCACATAGATTATCTGTTTTCCATTTTATTAATCTTATTAATTAGTTAAAGCTCATATTATAAAAAATTATAAAAGAAGTTAATTGATATTTCATTAAATTAAAGCATGATGAAGTATTATTATTATTTTGTGTCAGTAACAAAAAACTTTTTGTGTTGAACTTTAGGAATGTTGAGCAAAATGGTTCTGCCTCAAATTGATATGACCTACGCCAGTTGTAAATCATTCAAATAATGTAAGATATTGATTAGTAAATTATTTTATAGCCTCTTTATAACTTTAATATCAATTTAATACTTATAATTTAATACTTTCAATTTATAGGCATTTTTTTAAAAGGCTTGAAGTCAATTATTTCTGAAGTTGATGTTTTGCAACTTTAAATTAAATCATGGAAAACAGCCCAAGGATCGTGTAAAAGGTCTGGGAAATCAAACACAACGTTGGCACACCAACTATAAATGCTAATTATGCAACAGACCCATCATAACCCATATTATGGGTCATGTTTCTGCTAGCATGATATGATAAATGACATAATACAACAAAGGTTGATAATAGTTAGTGTTTGGAATAGACAGAAAGCACAATGATCAGATGTATTCATGTTGCAATTCTCTGAGGAAAAAAAAACTATTACTTTAGACAGAGATAGCGCTTCTGATAGGGTGCATCAGGTTAAGATTTTGTAGGTATGTAAAGCTTTAAGATGATTGAATATTGCGTATAGAGAGTTGGCAATTTCAATAGGGGAGTAAAGTAATACTAATAGATTAATTTATAGAATGGGTAAACACATCAATAGCTTGTAAACTTACATACCTGCAGCATTACAAATTTTTTTTTCAAACCTGTTTACATTTAAGGAAGTAACTTATCATACGTCGTTTTTAGTTAATGATTAAGATATTAAATTTCATTAATGGAATTATTTATAATTCATTGTTAACAATAGACATGGTGTGAAAGCACTTTAAATATTTGTCAATTGCTAAAAAAGTAAAACAAGCAAAACATTAAAAAAAGTAAAACAGCAAAACCATTCTTAAATTATTTTGTAACAAAATTGTTTGCAATGACTAGAAATGAGTTTAATTTGCCAGAAGTAGAAAAACTTGGGAGATTAAACTGAAATTTATTTATAACATTAAATACAAATTTGTCTTGATTATGAGAGCAAAAATATTGTAAACTATAAAAATAAAGCAACTATCACCTCAATAGGATTAAATTTTACACTGTGAACTGTATCAACTCCCCAAGAATATGTTTGAACAGGTATAGATCTATTTTCATCCCAGATTTCAACTGCCTCTCCACATGTTGCAAATGTAGCATTTTTACCATGATGATGTATTCCTGTAAAATGATACAAAGTTAAATATTTATTAACAAAAAATTAAAATCAAATAAATAAAAAATTTGAAAATTTTTACAAAAATATTCTATTTGATATTAATGCAATAAATAATTACATGTAAAATAAATTAATATTTTTATATTTTAAATAATTTATATATAAACTAACAATTACATACAAAATAAATTAATAAACTAATTAGTTCTATAATAAAAAATATATAACAAATTAAAAATAACTATGTATTTATTTATTATTATATGCAATATAAAATAAACATTAAATATTAAAAAAGAAAAAAATTAAAATAATTGTCTAATTACAAATATATTACTTTTAAACCTCTAAATAAACTTGGTGTAGACCTAAGAATTTCTTCTATTTTTAAAAAAGTTACCTGTCATCATTTTTGAGTGAAGATATGTTGATAATGGTTCTATCATTTCATTATGGTCAACATCCCATTGTTTGATTGTTTTATCATCACCAACCTTATAACAAAAATTTTAAATTTAAAAAAAAAAAACATTTTTACATTTTCTAAAAAAAAATAAAAAAAAATAAAAGAGGTAGCCTCCTCAGCCCGCTCGTAGCTGAGTAGGTTACTACATTCAAGGATGCTTTTTTAAAATTTAATGCCAGAAGATCATTTAGCTAGTTAGTTGAGACTAGTTAGTTGAGTTGCCTTTTTTACTAATGTCGTATATATGACATTGTCAAATGTCATGTCAAATCATATGTTAAAATACTATATAATTTGACATGAAACTTGATAAAAACTTTGTACACAATGTTTGAACTGTTTTAAACATTTATTACTCATATTAACTAGAGATGTCACAAACATTCTGTGACTATTCAGTATTTGGTTTATTCAGCTACTTTTTTTACTATTTGGTATTCAGCCAAACATTGCAAACTATTCAGCCAAATACCAAATACCAGATTGTAACAAAAAAAAAATGTAGAAAAAGGGATAACATACAACTATATTTTCTTTTTTTTTTTATTTTCAAAAATACTTGGCATATTTGATACTTAAAATTTAAGGTGGCAGATTATGATAAAAATATTTTCATTGTTTAATGATAGCAAAAGAATGTGAACTCCTCATAAATGATATAAAAAGTAATAGTGCCAAATTATTTTGTATTTTTTTTGTCTTCGCGCTAGGGTTTTATTTTTCGTAGAAAAACACGTTTTCTGATCCTTTTTACAAAATAAAAATAAAAAATTCTATGCATATACTAGAGTTGTAATAGAGTTTAAACATTAAACAATAACTAAGTTAGAAATGGTTACAATTTTTAAGAAAATATTTTAATGTCTTCAGTTGACGCTAGGGTGCTGAGTTTTGACCAAAAAACACTGTTTCATTAGTTTCTGGAAAACAAGCTTAGCAGTCCATAATGTACAATTGAAGTTTAAATAGAGAGGAAAATGTTTTTGAAAAATGTTTAAAGTTGAGCTGTAATAAAGTTCAACTATCTGATTCATTTGTCTCTGTCTCAAACTGTCTTTTTGCGTTGAATATAGGCATTTTTTTTTGCGATGCAAGTCTTGCACGAATGAAACCGTCTCTACTAGCCAAACCGCAAACTTGATCTGATGCTTCGGTTACAAGTTTGATGCATCTCTCTACTCCTTGAGTATGGCATGGAAAATGCTGCACATCTGGAAGATTAACATTTGTTAACATTTCAATTAGATTTTCATCTGAAATGTGAGTGGTAATCGGAGGTTCACTTAGTTTACATTTAATCCAATCAATAAAGTCTATATAGTCTGTTGCTTCAAAACTGATTTCTGGTATAGAGAACTTTTAAACTTTGTTTGTTTTGATTGATCTTGCTTTCATTATTTGTTTTAATGCAAATTTTCTCACATTTGGACGAGTATCCAATATCATAGCCAGAAGCATATTTTCTGGATGTGAAAAAAAAGCATTCCTTTGTATAACTGGATCGATGATACTTTTTATTTCACTACTGGCATACCTGGATAAATTGATGGTTAGCCATAAATGTCTAGCACCTTCCGTGCATGAGGGATCATATCTTATATTGAACCACATTTGGCAGTAAACTCTAATAACAAACTCAATTATTTCTCTCAGCTTGTGTGACGGTTCGCTACATCCAACATAATACCTCAATATTCTGTTTGCAGTGGTCACACACCTGGCATGGTTAAGTTTTCTAGGATTTCGGTTAGCCAAAGCGTTTGGACAATAACCTGTAGATATAGCTTTGCAAATATCAAGTAAGTATTTTTTATCAGAACTAAGAGATTTTTTGTCTATTTTTGGCAATGTGACACTGACAGGAATGTAGTTGATAATTGGCAAGGTATCACACAATTTAATTTCTCTTCCGATTGGTCCAGACCACCCGTTAGGTTCTGATGTATGTCCATCTAGGTTTTGAATTAGATGCCGTAGAGGCAGTTCATTAGCATGTATTTGACAAATAAACCAGTGGACAGGTCTTTTGAGTTCTAATTCGAACAAAACAATAACACCATTACGAAATCCGGTATTGACAACTGTTCTGTCACAACCCATGGCAACTTATTTGGATGCAGCGTGGAAAATAAGCGGTCAAATTGACCGACTAATACATAAAACTGACGGTCAAATTTTTTTTTTGGGCGGTCAAATTTTTTTTTTTTTCTTTGTTAAAATTTTTATTTCAGTAATTATTCTTCATGACATGTAAATAAAATAAAGACTTGATTTAAAATTAACGAATGCATGTTTCTTTTCAGACAGTTTTTTGTAACTTAAAAATATATTTTTAAAGATACATTTTGTCTGATTCATAATCTAAAGTTTCTTTGGAAGACGATTTTAAATCTAAGGTTTCGTCTGATGACAATTCCAAATCAACTAATATTTTTATAGTTTTTTTCTTTTCTTTTTTTGAATAAATTTTTGTGTTTTCTTGTGTAGGCCTTCGCAACGCATCTTTGGCCCATAACTCAATTGCAGGATTTACATCAAATTCGTCACTGTTTGTTTCATCTGTGCATATCCGAATTAAATTATTTAGCCGTTTTTCGGTTAATCGATTTCTTGTGTCAGATTTAATTCTATTCATAAGAGAAAAAAGACACTCAACTTTTCCATTCGAAACAGGCAATACAAACAACAATTCAACAAGAAGAAGAACTCCACTTTTTTTTCATAGTACTCGAGAAAATTTGATACCATACTTTACGGTACTCAGTTTTATCTGGTGCCAAATATTTGACAGTATAATCAACTAAACTATGCCAAGCATCTAACATATTGTTCACATTCCCAGTGAAGCCAGCATAACGTAACGGCATATTATAAAAGTCATACAATTTTTTAATGTTATCATCTGCAAATGAACTATTTGTGTTATTTTGATACCAACCGCCAGTGTTTAGTATTAACATTCCGTACATATCAGGAACTGTATTTTGTGCTTCCAAATGCTTTTGTATGGATTTGGTAATTAACACTACAATCATTGATTTCGAATTCTTAACTAGAGTTAGTGCGTTTGTAAAATCATGAAGCTCAACATCCTGAAATGAATACTTTCCATTACTATTTGTTACTTTTGATAGGAAACGTTTGACTGTTGGTAAGTCATTAAACTCTTTTTTCTGCAAACACCTTTTTATAAATAACTTTTGTTGTTTAAAAAGACGAGCATGTAATAAAGTATTACTTTATAAAGCCTTTTTTATAGAAAAAATTAAAATGAAATCCAATATATCTGATGCTTTTTTGGGGCGATTACCTGCAATATCAAATGCATTACCCTCTTCAAGAATAGCAACAAGTTCTCTTAACTGTCGTAACTTTTTGGGCGATTTTTTATAAATTGCATAAATTTTCAAAATGATGTTATCGACATCATTAAACGCCTTTATTTCTCCAAATTTATATTTTAACGCTAACTCAAGGTGATGTGCAACACACCAACCGAAAGTTATCCATGGAATTTCAAGATCAGAAATAGAAAGGAAAGAACATTCAACGCATATTTCGGTCTTTCCTATAAAAGTTGGATCAAAACTAATAATGAAAATAGCTTCTTTTTAAATTATAGAAACATCAATTAAAATACTGAAATAATTTCATGTTTTTAATTTATTTTTAAGATTATTTGATAAACTCAATACAATATAGTTAATAAAAGTTCCGCAAGTTACTTTATTTCTTTACGCTTAATCAAGCTCTACACCATATTTTCTTCCAAGCATAGTATTTTTGGGTATACGCTAAGTGGTAGCTCTTCTTTAGAAATAAAGTATGCTACCTCAAATTTTTTTTGAGTTAAATTTAAATCTTTCGCGGTCATGGTTTTCAGGCCCGATAAAATGTTAGTTTGCCGCATTTCTTTCTGCAGATTGATTAATTTATCATTTCGTTCGCTTACATCCATTCCTTTACTTTTCATTGCTAATTCATATGCTCTTGGATGTGGCAACCCATTCGCATGATCAACTGCAGCACAGTGTTGTATCCTACAACTACCTTCATCCCTTCCCCACTCTGGCGTATATACTTTATAAATATCAATTTGTCCAGCATACTGACGACATACAGTACATTTCAATGCTGTAACATAATTTCCACTATTTGATATCTCTAGCCATTCATTTGCATTATATTTAGCAAGCGTAGTGTTTATCCATTTTTGAGCTGTTGTTAGCTGTAAATTTCTACTACTTAGTTTTTTCTTCTTTTCAACAGGTTGTTTTCATTCTGATCCTGCTTGTGTTAAAAATGAAAGTGTTGTTTGTCTCTTTTTATTCGCCTCCATTTTAAGAGGTTGATGTTTAATGATTTTCTTACAATATAATAATAGAAAAAAATGTGCAAATGCGCAATTGCTAATTTGAAACTTATTTGAAAATAATTCATTTATTGCAATGACTTCGGAAAATGCGGGAAAGGTCAAAATAAAAATAAATGAAAAGATTGAATGAAAAAAGATAGAAAATGTTCTTAGCTCATACATTAACTTCAAATAATAGTTAAATAAGAACTTCAGTCGTTACCATCGTTGGAAAAGCGATTGCACATTATATTTATCGCTTGTATCATTTTATAACTTTCATTTGTTTAAGTTTCATTAAAAATCATTTTATAAACTGCTGCTGGTATTAAGTTGATAATAATGTAAGTACCATTTAAACTGAATACTTGTTATTTAATAACCGTTTTATGAAATACTTCTATAATACTACTATATGTTAATTAAAACGAAATTTTATACTGATAATATATATATATATATATATATATATATATATATATATATATATATATATATATATATATATATATATATATATGTATATATATATATATATATATATATATATATATATATATATATATATATATATATATATATATATATATGTGTGTGTGTGTTTAAGAATTCAGTAGAAGAAAAAAAAAAGCAAACGCTGATTTGGTAATTTTAAATTTATCTAAATAATAAAG